CCGTGGCCGAGTGGTTTGTACTCCGGGTTTCATGGTGTCGCCGACTCGAGAGGTCCCGGGTTCGAATGCCGGTGGGGGCAGATGTTTGTGTGATGAATACGAGCATTTGTTCTCCAGTCATGTATGTTTATTGTGTAATTCTTTATATATGTGTACAATATATGTATTCTATCCGTTACCCTAGTATCCCAAGCCTTACAGTGCTTACTATGGGGCTAGGCTAATTGGTGTGTGTTGTAAAAAAAAATACCCTTGGTCGTTAGCTCGAATATTCTAGTGCCAATGGAATTCGGGTAAACAAATAGTGTAAATAAACGGAGTCTCGTTTTGGTTACCCGACAACGTCTTCCAGCCCGTATTTCAGTGTAAATATTGCTTCGGGTGCCCGTGAATACGGGCTAGCGACCTTGTGTAATCAAGCTATATCATCATCATCATCAGCCTATTAATGTCGTCACTGCTGGGGTACAGGATGGAATAGGGAGTTTTGGGCCATGATCCACCATGTGGACAGTGATTGGTGGGTACTAACGACTACAGATGTAGCCGGGACCAACGGCTGAACGTGCCTTCTGAAGCACGGAGGAGCTTGAGATAATAAATTTTTTGGTCATCCATCCAATGACCGACCACTGCGAAAGTTGCTTTACTTCAACGTTCGCAGCCGAACGCGCTAACCACTTGCGCCATCGAGCTATATGATTGATTTTAACGCTCGCCAAAAACTTCATACAAAAGACCTTGTGGCAGCGGCATCTACATGCCCCACATATAATCAACATGGAGGAAATAGTCACTCGCCTCCTCAAGAGATGGCACCACCGGCGTTGCGATCAATACGTATGGAAGCCTAAATCGCGCAAGTAAAATACGGAGGCTTACACTCCATATATACAATGTCCGACCAACATCAGTCGGGCCTCTACACACGACACGCTATACCAGGTACAAGTACGTACCTGGGCGTTTTTCCCCGCCCCCCACTACAACGGCTAACTAGAGCCGAGGTCGGAGTCTCAGGGACGCCCTCTAGTTGAGCCGACCCCTCAGGTTCGAGTGGTCTAGCGGCTCCAGACGGAGAGGAGACTCCCCCCGTGTGGAGACGCCATCTGCCTGGAATACCTCTAAGGCACTCGCCAATTCTCGGCTTGAGGTCCCCTTAGGATCTCGCCGTCCCCAAACCCGGTGACGCTGTAAAGGTCATCTGCGACCAACAGCATACAATCAAAAAAAAAAGTCGGGACGCGGCCCCCTAGCTAACACCCAGCTCGGAGGAAAATCTTCCCCTTTGGCCTTCCTACAACCTCATGTTACAGTGGCGGCACCACATGGTGACGTAAGTTCTCCTGAAAACCCTCATTGACTCACCAGTTGGAACTTAGTCGTCACAACATATGGCAGAGGCGGTGATTATGCCTCGTTTTGGTCTCGCTCGCGGTCGCCGTGTGATTGGTGCTGCTCCCTATGTGGGTCGGTTTCTTCACTATCGCCGTCTCTGTCTCTCTCTCTCCGTCGCGTTGACTGCTTGGTGCCGCGTAGAGGGATCTGCAGTAGGCTTTGGTTTCACTTTGATTTTACAACTGCTAACAGTTAATGCATTTTGGGTTATAGGTAGTATTAAAATTAGATGTTAGCAAGAGTTGTCTGGAAGAACTTGCTTTTAGCGATAAGACCGCCCATTGAAGCGCTCTTTTTTTATAATAGCAATTTCCCTCATTTCTGTTGTGTGTTGTGGTGTTTTCAATAAAGTATTGTGTATTGTATTGTAGGTTATTGTAAGAGTAAAACTGAGAGGGACTGATTTAGCAGATTGGAAGCTTGTACGGGGAGTTGTTCTATCTCACGTAGATTTATAAAGCGCAATTTCTTTTTTATCATAATGATAATGCATCGTTTGCGGCCTGTTTTGTTTATGAAATCACCGGTTGAAATTTAAATTCACAGAACATCTGATGGTTTATTTTCTACACCTTGCAAAAATAACAATGGTCATTAGTTCTCTAAAGCTTTTATTTGTTACAAATAAGTTACTCTTTTTTAATAATATAGAAGACGAAGATTTTTTCAAATAATAAGTGTCTATATTAATTATTATTTTCTTATGATATGGCTACTATTGGAGAGAACTCTTGACGCCAGACAAGTTACATTGTTAGTGCAAGACAGAACAGTAAATCCATCATCCTGCTTCTACAGCTGTCTTTGTCTGGCGTTAAGAATTCATAATAATATGCAACCTGGCCTTTACTTAGGACCAAGTTACTGTGTAAATACAAAATAATGGAATTTTAGTCTCACAGACTCACTCTAGTTATGTAGTGAATTTAGGCATCAGGCGCACTAGACGGCCGCGGCCATAATGGAACAGCGGATTAAGCTGAGAGACATTTGAGAAATAGGTATTCGAAAACCTATTGCTGTCGCGCATTGGCAAATACCGTGCGATAGGGACAGCAGTAGCTAACGCTGAAAATTGCAAAATTCGAGGTTTGGCTCTCGACGATTTCCTCCTCGAAAATAAGATATATGTAAAAGAAATTTTACCCATAGAATAATAAGTACTTACACTATGTCTCTATGTTTTGCCTTTTTTTTGTAAACGCTTTCTGAATCTCGACACTAGACATCTTTATTGGTGATAAAAAAAAAATACTTTTTGCATTATTGAGGGCTTCTACCTGATTTGAAACACAAGTTATCGAAAAAAGGAAGACATAAAAAAGACAGAAAAACATTTTATTGGCCTTCACAGCGTTAATTGAGAAGTACAAAATGGATAATTATAACAGTCAAAACATAGACATTAATGAAAAAAAGAAAATAAAAAAAACTAATTTCTAGGTTCGTGCCGTGTAAGGCCAATTTTATTATTATTTTCGACTGTTTTAAACTCAATTTACACAGTGTAAAACTGAAAAAATTGGATTTCTTTATGCCCATAACCTAATAAAACACGTTGATTTCCGTAATTGACAAACTGAACTGCTTTATTCACCAAGATAGGTATATATATAAAAAAATATAAATTACTATAGACTATTTTGCTATCTATTTTAACCGCTAACACAGTAGGGCTGATTTTCAGTCAGCGCCCTATGGCAAAGGTGATCTACGAATGCCGGAATAAAGCGCAATGAATACAATTAATAGGGTATTGACAGTGTTAAAAATAAAGTGTCAATTGTTAGCATCTGTGTTTTGAATGAATATTGGCAGGGGTTTTTACTATTTTACGAAAAAAAAATTCATGATTTTACTAAAAACTAACGAAAAAGATAATATTTTTCTTATCTTTTGTCACGTGACCCAAAACGCTTGGGATTGGCGGAGCCTAAAATGACGTCACACGCAAGTAAACTTCTGGTTATAGTGACATTACATTGTATCGTTTGACGTTTTAATAAAAGTCGTGTGAAAAAATTGTGACTTTGACCTTATATATCTCCATAACCAGAAATTTCCCAGGTATAGTCCAGAAGAAAAAAATGATCATCATGATGTGGAAAATACGTGGCCTTCAACTTCGTTAAAGGTTTTTTTTCACCCTGTATAGTTAATCTGGTCGTAATGGCCATTGGGCCACTGTCGTTGCCAGTGCTCTAAGACTTAAAAAGACATACTTTTGTATGTGGTCTCGTAGTTCTATTAAAGATTGCCTATATTTTTTGAATTCTCCACTCTTTGCTTGTGTAAATTCTGCTCGTGTAATGCCTCCGACTGGCAGTTATATTAAAAAGGAAATATCATTATTTTAAAGATTTGAAATTGGGAATCTCTTGTCTCTTATCGAAGATTCCAGCAGATAGAATTCAGACATAAATGCGAATAACTGATAAGACGGATTTTATTTAATTGGCTACCAATTCAAAATTATAAAATAACAATGATTTGGTGATTATTATTTCGTAACCGTAGCAGAGATACCACTCGCTCCCAGGCCTATCCCTTCAGGATAGAGCACCGCAGTACACCCTAGATTAAAATATTTACCTGGTAAGTTTACTCCGGGCCTGCCTCGAGGTGAAGGTGCCAGCCTTGCCTCGCCGCAAGGAGTTGAAGGAAGTCTTGATGGGCTTCACTAGCGCCATACTGCTGCTGCTCTCAGGAATGGGCTTGGAGCAGTTCAGGGTGGTGACTGTTAACTCGACGTCTTTTATCGCTTCGTTTGACGCTGGTGGGAAACACATTCATCAAACATTGTGGGTTACCTACAGTGGGAAGTTACCTACAATGCGAAGAGATGGCGCTGCCTTGCAGCTAAAGAAGAGCTACAAATAATTTGACACGGCCGTCAGGGCCGCGGTAGCATAATGGTCAGTTTATTCGCGAGGATAGCGAAGGGTGCACGTTCGAGTCCCGTCTGCCGCCTGGTCCGCGTGGATATTTCTCTAGTCATATTTTCTTTAGATTTAAACTACGAACAGTTATATGCTTAAAAAAATAAAAATCATAACAAAATTCATCAATTTTAAAGCCTGTTATTGATGGAAAAGGATTCATTATCATTTTCAGCCTATTAATGTCCTCACTATTGGACATAGGGTTAGCGTGAAAACTATCTTTATTATCCTACTTCCTACAAACGGCTGAATGGATTTTGATGAAATATAGCATATAACAATATTGTTGTTGTTCTGCATATGCTACTTCTATTAAATGTCGATGAGTTTCTTAGATTCTTCTTATCAGTTAAAAGAGGGCCTGGTAGGAAAAAATATTGTACGATTCAAAAGGGCTTTCAATAATTCAATATGATTAAAGCATTTTATTTTAATATCGTTTGTTCACTTTGGCTGTAACAAGCACATGTGGAAGGCGCCATCGGTTCGTAAATCTACAGCGGGAGACAATGTAGAAAAAAGAAACGACAAGAAACTTGGGATAAACTAGGATACTTTTTTTAAAGAAAAGTGATAAAATATCTTTAAAACTACTTAAGTATATGATATTATGGTGGAATCAAAAAGAAATAATGAAGAAGATGCTGGAGCAATGAGGAACTACACAAATATTCCATAGTCAGCAGTGAAATCTTCTGTGGGCTTATCGATGGTGTCGTGGTCTATCCAGGTCAAACCCATCTCCACCTTCTCCGCGAGGTCTTGCCACCGATGCCTGTTGTCCATGGTGCCCGCGTACAGAGGCTGGATCCATGGGAATGTGTCTGAGATAACCTTGTATAGGCATTATGGTGTCTATAACCATACTCCCCAGTGAACTCTTCTATGGGCTTATCGATGGTGTCATGGTCGATCCAGGTCAAACCCATCTCCACCTTCTTCGCGAGATCTTGCCACCGCTGTCTGTTGTCCATGGTACCCGCGTCCAGAGGCTAGATCTATGATGGATCCATGGGAATGTGTCTGAGAGAACCTTGTATAGGCATTATGGTGTCTATAACCATACTCACCAGTGAACTTTTCTATGGACTTATCGATTGTGTCATGGTCAATCCAGGTTAAACCCATCTCCACCTTCTCCGCGAGGTCTTGCCACCGCTGCCTGTTGTCCATGGTACCCGCGTCCAGAGGCTAGATCTATGAGAATGTGTCTGAGAAAACCTTGTATAGACATTATATTGTCTATAACCATACTCACCAGTGAACTCTTCTATTGGCTTATCGATGGTGTCATGGTCGATCCAGGTCAAACCCATCTCCACCTTCTCCGCGAGATCTTGCCACCGCTGTCTGTTATCCATGGTGCCCGCGTACAGAGGCTGTATCCATGGGAACGTGTCTGAGAGAACCTTGTATAAAGGTAGGCATATCATGTCTATAAACCCGACCTGCATTTGGGGGAGCTCGTCTTTCTTCTCTCTGTGAAATAAAGATTTCTTTACTAGAATTGTCTTTTTTATACTTCATAGATTTTTATACTAGAATTGTCTTTTATACGTTCACTCAGGCTTTTTGATTTCTAATAATTGTTTTTACTATTATAAATCTAGCAACTCAATGCTTAAAATTATTGAATGCACATATCATTGAAGTCTTAAAGCAGGATACAAAACTTACGCAAACTTCAAGTGTTATCTTATCGTATTTAATATTATCGTTATGAAATGTATAATTTACTAGCTGACCCAGCGAACTTCGTACCGCCGCGCCATAAAAATAGGGGCTGTTTGAAGAATGGTGAAAATTTACGGTTGTATGCATTTTTTTAATAGCATATTATAAAAAAAATGGAAGGGGTTGGCAACCCTTATCACTTATATGTATGAAAAATAGATAGTAGCCGATTCTCAGACCTACTGAATATGCGTATAAAATATCATAAAAATAGGTCACGCCATTTCGGAGGAGTATGGTAACTAACATTGTGACACGAGAATTTTATATATAAGATTTTGCTTAGGTCTAGTAACCAAACTTTATATATATGTAAATAAAATTTGTTATTTATTAACAAAAACTAGCAAACCAGTGAACCAAATGTTCACCAAAACCTGATTTCTCGAAAACCGGAAGTACTACGTTACTCAAAGGTTTGTAGTCTTATCAAACTATTCTTAACTTATAACTTAAATATTCTCTTTATCTATCTCTTACGGTTTGGCCGCTGAAACAGCACCACAGACAGACGGACGGACTTGTCTAATAGATAAGAGATACATGTTGCTTAGAATCTTTTGATGAGAATATTTGTTTTCATTTTTTTTAGTTAATGTCGTTAAAATTCGTGTTTTGACGTAGATAGAATCTTAATTGAAAAATATTTTACATTCACACTAAAGTTAAGAAAAAGCTTACATGAGTTGGTTTCAATTTACAAGAGTAAAAAAAATCGTGACAAAATAAGGGGCCAGTACATAACCAGTATTTTCGATATTAGATTTTTCAGATTTCTACAATGAACTTCTTTAGAGGAAGTCGTTGTATTATTATTCAATATTCACCTTTAAGTCTGGTACATTTAGCGTACATAATCTATCAAGTATTTCACCCACCTGTCCATCATAGCTATGGGCTGCTGATTCAATTGCAGCTTCTCCAGGTCTCCCTGGTCGAAGAACTCATCAGCCACTAGTTTGGCCACTTTGTGCTGGACTTCCCAGGGTTTAGCTATAGCTGATACATCGCACGCCGTCATCATCATACCGCAGAGCACTGGAAATAATATCATTAATATAATTTTGTCTATACAGCCACACCAAAAACTGGGCAATATTATTGGACCTAGCAGAATTCTTGGTAACAAATTCGACTCGAAAACAAACTTAAAAAAAAATGTGTGCACGAACATCAAATGTGATGTAAAACTCCTTTTTCAAAATAACCTACTTCGCCAAGTTACTTTCCTACTTTCACACTCGTCGGGAAGAGCCGCGCACGCATCCCACACACACATATATATACCTATATACATAATATATATAGTCGTGTGACGCTCGTGGTACATTTTCGTTTCATATTTACCATCTATATGTCCATAAAGAAGTTTCTCTTCAAAAATAAATAAAAAAAAACAGACCTGAAAAAAAAATGTCAATAACCGGGCAAATATACTACGCACGACAAAACTGAGGAATAAATTAAACATACAGTCGCCAGTGGTGATTCCTCGAAAAAAATATTACTCGAAAAGCATAAAAAGAACTTCGCTGTTGCTGCGCAGCAGTGCTTAATACATATATGTACATTGCGGAGTAACAATAAAAAAAAAAAGATAAGCCATTAATACCCATATATATGCTGCAGAGAGCAAAAGGCCAAGACTCGGCTAAACATTTGCCAGTATTAAGGATTTTCAGCCATCACCTTTATTAATAAACATTTAAAAAAAGATTGCAAGGAGAAAAGAAAAAAAAGGTCATGACCATTCACCCCGGAATCCGCAATCTGATTCAAAATAAGACCACGAATCACACTAATATTATAAAGGCGAAAGTTTGTGAGTGTGATATTACTTCTTCACGTCTAAACGGCTGGAACAATTTTAATAAATACTAGTGGCCCGCCCTCGCTTCGCTTCGGTTTAGAGCTTTACTGCTAAGCTATCAGGAGTTACACGTGTTATTGTGAGTCAACCATAAAAGACAGACATATGCTGTTGCGGGATATTTTTTAGACAATTTTATGTAGAATATTTCCGTCATACATGATTTCTATGTAACTTTAACCATTAAGGCTGCACACGCGACGGAAGCTTAAAAAATGGAGTAACTTCTTCCGTTTTCCCAACATTTCCCTTCACTACTCTGCTGATATTGATTGTAGCGCGATGAAAAGTATACTATAGGCTGCCCAGGAGTATGAAGAATAATTGTACCAAGTTTCGTTAAAATCCGTCGAGTAGTTTTTGTTTCAATAAGGAACATACAATACAGACAGACAGACAGACAGACAGAACAAAAATTTTACTAATTGCATTTTTGGCATCGGTATCGATCACTAATCACCCTCTGATAGTTATTTTAAAAATATATGTCATGTACAGAATTGACCTCTCTACAGATTTATTATAAGTTTTTTTTTTAAATAGCCGGATATGCAAATGACTCTACCCCACTTGATATAAAGTGGCGATAAAGTCCAAATGCGAAGATAGCTGGTACAGCAGTTATAAACTGCCACACCAACCATTATCACCTTGCCGGACTGCAAAAATGCTTCTTCTTCACGCCTCTCTTAAAGGACCCCAGATTGTAGGAAGGAGGGGACACGTGCGCGGGCAAAGAAGTCCACTTACGAATAGTACGACAAAGAAATGAGTCACCAATTTTCTTTATTCAGAAATCAGAAATCAATATATATTTATTCAAATTGGATGTATAGTACAACTCTTTTGAATCGTCCAAAAATTTTTTTTCCCTATCACTCGTTATGGACATATTTTTTAGCTGCGGAGAAAAACGAGCGAAAAAAACTCCACAACATTAAAAGTGTAATGTAACAACATTTACAAATCATTATGTTGTTACAACGTCAATACAATTATGATTTATTTAATATAGAAAACCTGTTGGAATGATTGGAACAGTTCAAACCCAAGCATTTTTGTCTGTAATATAATCAGACACTTTGTAATAAGCTTTTTTAATAAGTGTTTTTTTTATAATATCTTTTAATTTATTTATGGCTAACTCTTGGATATTGCTTGGGACTTTATTGTATAAGCGAACACAAAACCTTTAAATGAATTATTAATTTTGTGAAGCCTAGTAGCAGGTAAAGTTAGTTTATTTTTGTTTCTTGTATTAATTGTGTGAACATCACTGTTTTTAAGAAATTCGTGTAGGAATAGTGGCCACAGTAAGTCGGTGGCAACGTAGGCCAGCGCGCGTGGTCCTCTGAAGAAAAGGTGATGGAGGGATAATAGGAGAATAACTCCTCAGAACACTCGCCGTGGTATACTCCGTAGAATGCGCTTAATGATGCCACACGCGGCGTATTTGTAAAGACTCGAGTTTGTTAGTTACCTCTATATCGCCAATGATGCGGTCAGCACGCCGCTGCAACCTATTCAAGGCATCGAGTAAGTACTTAGCGGAGTCATCCCAGTTTCATTCAGACAGACAAACTTTCGCATTTATAATAACAAAAATGAAATATTTATGAAGTCCACTAACAAAATCATTCTTAAGTTATTCGCAGGTGTCAGCACCCGTTGTAGTATTTGTATAAAATCAAAATAAGTTAAAACTTACATTCTTTCTTCTCTTGACTCTGCCAGTCGAACTCGCCGTTGTCGACCAGCTCCAGGAACTTCGACTTCTTCTTGAAGTACATTGCCAGGTCTGTCGACAAGATCGCCGTTTCTACCACCCTCATCACGTCTTTGTAGTCGTCAGGAGATAAAGCCTGTAAAAACGATTTCCCTAATAAATAAAATGTCAGTCTCGTAGAACACCCAGTTGGAACAAAGATCAAAATATTTTATGTTTAATAGTTTTTTCGCTCGTTTTTCTTCACAACTAAAAAATGACCATAAAAGGTGGTAGGTAAACGGATTTGGACTGTTCAAAAGTATTAGGTATGCTTCGAATTTGAATGAGGGCTATCGTTTTTTGTCTCACCAGATGGCGCCACTGTTGAGTGAGGTCCTGAAGTGTAACTTTTAAAGTTAGTAAACACGCTCGTGATATCAAACTTTACATTTTAATACAAAAGAATCGTATCTTAAACATAATCGCTTTTGCCACAGTGTTGCGCAGTCCCGTTTTGTTCGGAAAAAAGAAGGACAATATTTTTTCTTAGCTCCGCTTTTAAATAACTGACAATCATTGGACACGTAACTCATATTTGCCATAATAAGTCTGATTTATTACCAAATATTCACAACTATTATTTTAATTAGAAAAAAACCGCGTAGTCAACCCGCAAGCTATAACATTTGACATTTCGGAGACCTCACGCAACACAAGCGCCTCTAGCGGCGGTTTCAGACGCGATAGCCCTCATTAAAAAAAATTTGACTTTCACTATCGAGGGTGACACTCGGGTTTGTCACACAGAGGGAAAGTATATTAGTCTTCATCAGTCTTTGTACCAGAAACGACCCGGAGCGAGGGTCAAAAACTTTGTTGTTTAGAAAAAAAAACGATGGGTTGCACTATGGGAGTGCCGGCAGAAGTGAAAACTTGAATATTAACGTTGTGCATTTTTGATATTTTGGAATGGTTAGGGAATAGTTTTGCACGAACTGCTTTAATTATCAGTATAAAGTACTATCATGTATGTGGTAGAATACAATATTTATTTTACTTTCAATATTTATTTTCATAACATGACAATTTATATTACATTAAAAAAGTTTATCTCTGAGAAAATCAACTTACATGAATCACGTTTAAGCGCACTTAGCGACATCTATTGTAAAGAAATCAACTTACATGAATCACATTTAAGTGCACCTAGCGTCATCTATTGTAAAGAAATCAACTTACATGAATCACATTTAAGCGCACCTAGCGAAATCTATTGTGAAAAAATGCATTTTCTTCGCAATAAAGCTGCCACGTGGACGTCCTAGATAGAGACTTATTATTATAATACGATAAAAAAATGTTACTATGTTTCGTTCATTATATTGTGTGTCATGATGCGATTAGCCCACGTGTTTAACCTGACGCGAGTTTAACCTGAAGCGAGTTTAACATTTTTTACCCATACAAAAAAAGTGTACAACGCCGCTAAAGAAGTTTTCACTTCAAAAAACCTATGATTCCCTTTCAATGGTTATCATAGAATACGCCAGGTGTATTTTTTTTTTCAAATTTCACCAGTTTCATTCCCATTTTTAGTAGGCGATTTTAAAAAAAATATCCATGAATGCATTTCTAGTTATTATTAAAATAAAAAGATGTCTGCTTTCAGTAAAATATACTATCCTCAATATTTAATATACTTTTCCTCCGTGTGACAAACCCGTGGGACGCCCTGTATTGTTGAATTCGGACTATGGGGTATTTGACAAGTTTTAGAAATCGATCTCACGTTATTGACTAATGTTTATCGAGTCCGTAAAAAGATATTCATCATTCTGTTGTATATTTCAGTAAAAATTACCAAATCAAAAACTCCATTTTCAAGTTGCCGCGTAAACGTTTTTCTGGACAATATGCCGTCTTACTAGTGTGTGAACGTCACACGACTGTTATTAAAACATCAAACGATACAATGTAATGTAACTTTAACCGGAAGTTTGCTTGCGTATGATGTCATTTTAGGCTCCGCCAATCCCAAGCGTTTTGGGTCACGTGACATTAGATAGGAAAACTATTACCTTTTTCGTGGGTTTTTTTTTGTAAAAATCCCCTGCCAATATTCATTCTTTTTTTTCTTTTTTTTTGGCAACAAACAGTCATATATTTTACAAAATTAACTTATGTTAAACATTTTTTATGAAATAGACCTAACAGTGCCTAAACACAATATTAAAACAGTTCTGAAGTTAGGACATGGTCAGCTAATGAAAATCCAAAATTAAACTATTACAGTACACTAATGTATGACGAAATATTTATACCATATGCATATACATATATATGAGTCTGTGTACACACACATATATATACATACGCACTTTATTTTTATTTCAAGCCTCTCCTGACAGTTTTACATTAAGTTTACTTTTAAATGTAGCAAGAGACATATTAAAGAAATCTAATTCAGACATTTCCTCGTTGTACGTGTTGGTGGAACGATAAAAGAATGTGTTTCTCGTATATATTTTTTGACGTTTCGGTGGAACAAACAGCGGTAGTGTACGTGAGGAGCGCATGGGAAGTCGAACTTGACACATTCCAAACACAGATGCTGACAATTGGCACTTTATTTTTGAAGTTATACTTCTTTAGGCGCGTTATGAAAAAATGATGAGAGTGAAATTTTCAGATACGCGCGCAACACTGTAACACAAAATTTTAACAGCATGAAGTTGGTCGCTTTAGCGCTTTAGCGACCAACTTCATGCGTTACTTTTGTGTTTACCGCACATTAAGAAAATCTACCAACAAAATGGTTATAGAATCTCTATTTAGTGGGTGCTAACGACTGCATTGTGAAGGCCTATCAAAAGTATTTATTAATCTGGAACAACGGAACCAAAGCGCGATTCAGGAGACTACAGCGCCATCTCTTGACCATTGGTGTAGTAGAACCAAAAACCATTTTTATTTTTTGTAATAAAGTAACAGTTATAGGTATTCATATTTATAATATTTATCCACATGTTTCTAGTTTGTATATTCGGAATACGTGTTTGAGTTTCATACAAGTGCAAATCACATATGTTCTAATAAATTATATTCAGTAGCGATTTTAATTGAATATTTTGATTATTTATTTATTTTTTCAAATTAAAACTGAACTTTATTGACTGTGTCCTTTTCCAGACTTTTTATTAATTTATTGTAATTAATTATTTGCATGCAATTAAAAACTAATTTTAAACGATGCCAAAGAAGGATAACTTCTCACGCGCCTACATAAGTACACGCACCCATTTTTTTTTTAATACTGTCAAATACCCTATTGTAAGCTTACACGAGAAGGACTCCAAACTTACCTGGAATATGTTATTGCTCTCGCTATTCAATATCATGACGCACTGGTCGAAATGGTGATGCTCCATTGTAGAAGTCGAGTACAAGATCGCTAGAGGGCTCTCAGTTTTCGTCTGGAATGCATTGTTCGTCCCTCTATGGTCCAAATCGTGGCATAGACAAGCTACTAGGAGACCTAATATTTCTAGGTCCGACATGAACCTCTCCATTTTGCCAGTTTTCAACATGGCGAACATTGTCTGTGCTACGTTTAATGCATGTCTCCAGTTGTGGTATTTTACGGGGCGGTAGTTCTTCTTAACGCTTAGGATCCATCTGCAGAGGACCTGTTGGGAGTATAATTACATTAGAATAGAATCTATATATATATATATATATATAAAACTCAAAGGTGACTGACTGACTGACATAGTGATCTATCAACGCACAGCCCAAACCATTGGACGGATCGCGCTGAAATTTGGCATGCAGGTAGATGTTATGACGTAGGCTAAGAAAGGATTTTGATCAATTCTACCCCCAAGGGGATAAAATAGGGAATGAAAGTTAGTATGAAACTTTGTCAACCTTAAACCGATCGGGCTAAGACTTTGCATGCAGGTATAAGAAGAATCATAGTGTATAATAATGTCATTGTGTATAATACAAGCCTGAGAACAAAAACTGTAGTCTACACTTCAGCTCTACATCGAAGCGAAGCGAGGGCGGGCCGCTAGTATAGTATCAATATATAAATAACATCGAGGAGCTAGAAGTTAAGCAACTTTCACAGTGGTCGGTCATTGGATGTGTGACCAATAATCTTCTATCTCGAGTTCCGCCTTGCTTCGGAAGGCACGTTAAGCCGTTGGTCCCGGCTGCAGCTGCAGTCGTTAGCACCCGCCAATCTGCACTGGTCCCGCGGGGTGGGTCATGGCCCAATCACTCTGTACCCCAGCAGTGGGGACATTAATAGGCTGATGATGATGATGAATACAATACTAGCTTTCCATCCCAGCTTTGCACGGGGAAACTTTATTTTAACGCAATTTTAATCAGGGTTAACACGTTTGCATTTATTTTTTTTAGATTAGATTTTTTAAATGGGAACATAAGTGTTTGAGTGAATTCGTTACAAACAAGCCAAAAATTCAATACTGTACTTTTTTATGACGTTTCTTCAAATCCGAATAATAAAGAATTATTTTTATCAAGTAAACATTTTAATAAGTTACTTTCTTTCTAGATTTGCTGAAAGGGATAAATCTTTAAGATCTTACTTGCGACATAAAAATTTTTTTTTTTAAATGAAGCTGTATATAGGTCCTGTCGACACCTCCAAAGAGAAACATCGTAACTCAGTTTTCGTAATTTTACAGGTCATCATGAGAAAATCAAGGTTTCAGATAAAACTAGTTTTTACGGGTTAATGCACGAAACTTTATTTATTTATTGACGTTTCGCAGCCTTTTCAGGTCTGCATCGTCAGAACAACGATTTTATCCAAAATTGTCGAGCTACCTTCGAAAGAACTATGTCTTTCGAAGGTAGCTCGACAATTTTGGATAAAATCGTTGTTCTGACGATGCAGACCTGAAAAGGCTGCGAAACGTCAATAAATAAATAAAGTTTCGTGCATTAACCCGTAAAAACTAGTTTTATTTAATGAGTGATGTGCGTGAAAACCTAAGAAACAAATAAGGTTTCAGATATTACAGAAAATCAAGCATTAGTTGCTAAGTCAGATTAACATTGTAAATTTTAAATCTCCATAATCTGAATTACGATATCTTCATTGGATGCGACGCTATTATTTATGAATATTAATATAATTTAACTTAATAAATCATATTATTAGGAATATGGGAGCTCGATGGCGCAAGTGGTTAGCGCGTTCGGCTGCGATCGTGTAACTTAAGCAACTTTCGCAGTGGTCGGTCATTGGATGGGTGACCAAAAATTACTATCTCGAGCTCCTCCGTGCTTCAGAAGGCACGTTAAGCCGCTGGTCCCGGCTGCATCTGCAGTCGTAAGCACCCACTAATCCACACTGGGCCCGCGTGGTGGGTCATGGCCCAATCTCCTTATTCCATCCATAGGGAAGGCCTGTGCCCCAGCAGTGGGGGCACAGGCCCCAACATTAATAGGCTGATGATGATGATGATTATTTTGAATTAGATTTTATTTAAAGTAACGTACATCGTATGGTATGTGGAATTTCTCGACTAGATTGCACTGGAGGAACATCCTTAGAGTCGCTCTGCATGTGTCTTCGTCTGATAGATCAAAGTCTGAAATAAACAGATTCTCGTCAAATAATACACTATTCAATGTTGACATTAGGGTATTTGACAAGTTTTAGAAAACGATCTCACGTTATTTACTAATGTTTATAGAGTCCATAAAAAGTGGATATTCATCATTCTGTTGTGTATTTCAGCAAAAATAACCAAATCAAAAACTCCATTTTCAAGTTGCCGCGAAAACGTATCTCTGGACAATATGGCGTCTCACTGGTGTGTGACGTCACTCGACTGTCATTAAAACGTCAAACCATACAATCTAATGTCACTTTAACCAGAAGTTTACTTGCGTGTGACGTCATTCGAAGCTCCCTCAATCCCAAGCGTTTTGGGTCACGTGACAAAAGACAAGAAAACTATTATCTTTAACGTTGGTTTTTGGTGAAATTATGAATATTTTTTCCGTAAAAATAGTATAAACTCCTTCCAATATTCATTCTAAATACAGATGCTTACAATTGGCACTTTATTTTTAATACCGTCAAATACCCTATTTGGTACGAGGTCATTGAAATCTCTTAAAAAGTAACCGTGACCCGCATCCGCTATCATGCTAAAAGAAGTAAATTTGTTTTTTCCTGTGGCTCTTTCCGGTTTCCATAGAAATGTTGCCAATGTAATAAGACAACAGAAAACGGACAAATGAAAGGGTATTGGACATTGTGGCTGAACGTAGAGCTTTGCTCGACACACTGGAGAATAGGGGGCCATTCGCCTAACGGAAATGCTTTGGAAAACACTAACGCTTACGATTTCATTTCGTTATTTCTAGCCGCCTGAAGTTTTCAAATGCCTCGCGCTCTTTTTTTTCATTTGCATTGGTAATAACAATATTAAAAAAATGAGCGTGAGGTATTTGAAAACCTTCGGCGGTCAGAAATAACAAAATAAAATCGAAAGCGTTAGGGTTTACCAAAGCATTTCCGTTAGGCGAATGGCCCCCAGAAGGGGTAGAATGTTCGGCCACCTTGTGCGACACTACGCATTCATAAAGAACATCATTGAGGGAAAAGTGAAAAGAAAGAGTGGAAGGGGAAGACCAAGGAAAGCCTACACTAAGCAAATTAAGGAAAAGGTTGGCGTCGAGTCGTACAGGGGGCTCAAGGAGTTGGCGGAGGACAGAGGGTGATGGCGGGGGATCCGTAGACTGCACCGACAAGAGCATAGCTCTTAGAAGAGAGAATGAAACATAAGTTGTCACGATACCTTACTATATATTACTAGCAAAACTGAGGAGCTCGATGGCGCAAGTGGTTAGCGCTTTCGGCTGCGATCGTTGAACTAAAGCAACTTTCGCAGTGGTCGGTCATTGGATGGGTGACCAAAAATCACTATCTCGAGCTCCTCCGTGCTTCGGAAGGCACGTTAAGCCGTTGGTCCTGGCTGCATCTGCAGTCGTTAGCCCCCACCAATCCGCACTGGGCCCGCGTGGTGGGTCATGGCCCAAATCTCCCTATTCCATCCATAGGGGAGGCCTGTGCCCCAGCAGTGGGGACATTAATAGGCTGATGATGATGATGATGACTAGCAAACCAGTGAACCAAATGTTCACCAAAACCTGATTTAAAAAAAAATGTATTTAATTAATTGACAACTTCGGAGATTTTGTTTGCTGGAAGTTCTACGTTACTCAAATCCGGTTTGTAGTCTCATCAGACTATTCTTAACTTATAACTTAAATATTCTCTTTATCTATCTCTTACGGTTTGGCCGCTGAAACAGCACCACAGACGGACGGACGGACTTGTCTAATAGATGAGAGATATAGTAAGATATCGTGACAACTTTTTAAGTTACTTAATAACCCTGCACTTTTAACGCTCGCACTCAGAGACGTCAATTTAAATTATAATATCTCAATTTAAATTATAAATTTATTCAACTAAAATTTACTCATTCGGTTAGTAACGCTTGTGTAAGTGACGCTTAGTAATTCAAGTGTTCTCTCATTCGATGTTCTTTGGATAATAATATTACAACACTAAATTTAATCAAGGTTTAACGGTTAATTGAAATCTCTGAATGCAGCCGTAAGAACTTTTAAATATATGTTATTTATTTATAAATTTTTATAGCGCCATTCAAACTTGACGACTGCAGTGAAGGTAGCGCAAGTCGCTGCGCAGTATGCACTGAACTGCAACCTACGCATAGTTGCGCTCGCTGCTATCTTCACAATGTGAAATTCATACAAGCTATTATCTTACCATGGAACTGGAAGCTGTATAGATTGTAAATCTCCGCTGAGGGGATGACCTCTTGGCACAGTTTGTTGGTATCCTCGGCTGAAGCGGTAGCGTGATACGACAAGCACTCCAACGCCACCTGGAGACAATGAAGGACTTTGTTTTTGAAGCTTTTGTTTAACTTGCAATGTACTCGTATGTACGAGTATGTTCTGCATTGTTCGGGTCAAATATTGCAAATGAATTTTAAAGTTCTCCTCAACCGATTGAGATCAAATTTTGCATTCATTTTTAACTTAAAGGATGACAATGAATTGTTAGCTACGGACGGACTCGTATTTTTTTGTAGTCGTTGGCACCCATCGATCTGCTATAAGTGCTTATTTTGTAAGGACAAAATTTCAAGTCACACCGGCGTATTCCGCGGTGGCACTGGTGGCCCAATTTCCTTTATTTATCCATAGGGAAGACCTGTGCCTTAGCAGTGGAGGCCAATTTAATAGACTAATAATGATGATGTTACGCAGACTTTATTTTTTACTTTCAAATGATGGAAATAATATTAAACACCAATGTTATGGACCCTGTCGGGTACGCAACTTTAAAAGGCTATAATAGAGGGAGTATATTTTTTTGTTGTTAGAGTTTTTTCTACATTGTAAATGATTTTTCGTTCGCTCCAGTAATACCCCGAGATTAAGAGCCACGAGGCGTTTGAGGGCTCAAAAGACGCGGAATTTGAAGGGCTTTAAGAAGATGTAAATACATTGAGGAAAAGTTTTTTTTTGAATAGGTAGATTCATTTTCAATGCCCTTTCAAGTCGTGTAGAGCACGAGATCTGTGATTTTTTTTATATTAATATTCATGAACTATTTTGTACATTATCATATTTATAACTATACTAAGTGTAGCGGCCGCCCGCGACTTCGTGTGACATGTTCAAATGATTTCTTATATATTCTTCGGCTATAACTCACCTTTTGTTTAGCCATCAACTTGCATGCGTTCTCATACATCTGCGTGTTGTGAATGCCGAGACCGCAGAATATGGCGAACGCCTCGAATATAGATATATCGCCATCGGTGAATTGCGAACCGTTTTCCTGAAAATACATGGTTATAAATATTTATAAGATTATGATCAACTTTCATCAACCTACGAGGCGAGGTCCAAAAGTTCGTGGAATGGAGGGGATTGAGAGGGGTAGCGGGAAGTCTTCATACACCTATAAATACCTTGTTTCACACCAATCGGGTTATCCCACGACAACGGCTAACTAGAGTCAAGGTCTGAGTCTCAGAGACGACCTCTAGTTGAGCCGACCCCCTCAGTTTCGAGTGGTCTAGAGGCTCCAGACGGGGAGGAGATTCCCCCCGTGGGGGATGCCATCCGCCTGAGAGGCACTCGCCAATTCTCGGCTTGAGGTCCCTTTAGGATCTCACCGTCCCCAAACCCGATGACGTTGTAAAAGTCATCTGCGACCAACAGCATACACACTCAAAAAAGAGGGTCGTTAATTTTTAAGTTTTCACTGAATAAACAAGCCCATAGGGAAGAGATCATCAACTATGTGGAAAATCGAGCTACGTGCTATGATTCAGTTCCTCACCAAGCCACGAAAAACACTGCAGATCACTGTAGAAGAGATGTCATCTCTTTACGCGGACTCTTGGCCTGGTAATACATTACCATTTATAAGTGGCATTTCTTATTGAAGAGAGCTTCGGCAGATCGAAACGAACGACTCACGTACTCAGAACGGCCAATCGAAGCGACCTTCTCAGAAATTTTCAAAAAGATGAAAAACTTGTTCTTATAGATACGCGTTACTGTGTTTTCGTTTATAGCCTGCGCAAACGACGGACTTTTGTTCGCGAAGGATTTATAACCCCGTATTATGAAAAAAGCGAGTGTGATTATGACCACACGACTGAAGTGAAACTTCTTTAGCTCTATCTGTATGTATATATATACACATATATATCGCACGTCACAAGCAATAGGGTATTAAGTCGGCAAAACCATTTATTTTTTTATTTGCGTTTCGAAAGCTACATTTTTTTTCTCTATAAACTGGTAAGATAATTATATTTTAATTCGAAATAGTTTTTAAAGTTTGTTGCTATACAACACATGTCGTCAATTTCTAGGCAAAATTTATGATTGTGAGTATTGTAAACAGTATTAAGTTAAATTAATACCCTATTACCCGTTCGGATTAATAAAAGTTTGAAGTTATATTTAAAATAATACCCTCTGGCCTGTTCAATTTTATTAAATATGTTATTTTCAGCGAAATTATTTTAAAATGATACTAGTTGTAATTTTAACATGAGCCATCTGAACTGCTTGTAGGGTATTCTCTTTACCCAGCCACATAAAAGTACTTTTAAAATAAAAACTACTAAGATACACTAACTAAATTTACTCAACACAAAGAAGGATAATGTACAATAATGTACATTTAAATCAAGGTATCATTTTAAACATTTAAACAAGTAGATCCGCTTCTATGATTTTTTAAAACTTTTAAACTCGATATATCAAAACACTGTTTTTGAAGATAATACTCTGTTGTTTGTGACGTGCGATGTGTGTGTGTGTGTGTGCGTGTGTATGAACAATATAAACATATATTATTTTTCTAAAAATATTTATATTTATTTTATGTTTTCATTGGTAAACAAGAAAATCAAATTTCCCAATTTCAAATTTCCACGCAGCTCGCTATTTTTTTTTTAATTACCTGAAGCTAATAGCTTAATAACCTGAAGATTTGTTGATAGAAAAAATAAACATACGGCGGATTTCAATGGCGTAGAATAGTAAAATACTAAATTGTTATTGATTATTGATAAACTTCGTTATGTAAATAATTAAAAAACCTATTTCAATATAACATCAAGTAAAGATGTAAGTTAGCAAAAGATTCATGTATTTTGTGACGGGTATTGTTCATTGTTTACCGATAAGTCACTGATGACACTTTTCGTAACGCGTAACGCATTCGCCAGCTTACCTCCCCAAGTCAAGCGTGTCTAAAGAAGTTTCACTCCAAAAAAAATCCGCCGAGGACTCGTCACGAACTCAACGCAGTAAAATTTAGTGAGGCGCACGTTATGGAAGCAATATTCTGAAACATTGTATTGTAATAAACATTAACTTTAAGAAAAAGAGAGTTCGACGATTGAGAACACGTTCTAAAAGAGTCTAGTCTAATGTCTAGTTACCGCTAATATAAATAATACTATTTGTATTTATACTGTATGATACAGCAATCAAAATGCAGCTGAACAATAGGGTATTTGACAGTATTAAAAATAAAGTGCCAATTGTTAGCATTTATGTTTAGAATTAATAATGGCAGGGGTTTTTACTATTTTTTAAAAAAATATATTCATAATTTTGTTAAAAACCCACAAAAAAGAAAATAGTTTTCTTATCTATTGTCACGTGACCAAAAACGCTTGGGATTGGCGGAGCCTAAAATGACATCACACGCAAGTAAACTTCCGGTAAAAGTGACATTACATTGTATCGTTTGACGTTTTAATAATAGTCGTGTGACGTCACACACTAGTAAGACGCCATATTGTCTAGAGAAACGTTTTGGCGGCAACTTAAAAATGAAGTTTTTGATTTGGTTATTTTTACTGAAATACACAACAGAATAATGAATATCCATTTTTCACGGACTCTATAAACATTAGTCAATAACGTGAGATCGTTTTCTAAAACTTGTCAAATACCCTATTAATGTTTATTTCACATTATGTAATAAAAGGTGACTTCATGTATCATCTCTGAAGTCATTTTTCAATTTGACGACTCTGTAAATAATAAAACAGGGAGAAAAAACAGCCCTTGCTGTGTTTCTTGCCGGGTCTTCTCAGTACAAGGTCACCCGTCATAGATTTACGAACCGCTGGCGTAGCTTCTATCATGAGTGCTTGTAACAGCCTGAATGATTATGATTATTAAAGTTGTAGGCGATCTATCAGCGCGGGCAAAAGTCCTGCGTCTGCGCAAGCTATTACAATGTTTTTGAACATTCTAAATAGCCATTCGTGGCATGTTGTATGTTGTATGACGAAATAAATTGTGCTCTCTCTGAAGTCCTTCACTGGTTTACGGTAAATAATTTAAAACTAAACTCTAGCAAAACAAAATGTGTTAAGTTTACTTTACCTAATGTGAGGCAGGTTAATACTAGCTTAAAAATAAATGACCAGCCTGTAGAGTTAATGGATTCTACAAAGTTTCTGGGTATTACTTTAGACTCGCATCTGAGATGGGATCCTCATATTAATTAACTTTATAATAGCCCTTATTCATAAGAGTATTCTTAATCTGAGATTTAAATTTGGTTAGTGGAAGCTCAATCAGATCTTGGGGAACTTCAGCCTTATCAAGTAGACTGAGCTCTGCGGCCTTCGCTGTTAAAAAAACAAGACTCCTAACTGATGTGGAAACGGCAAGAATGGTTTACTTTGGTTACTTTCATAGCGTTATGTCATATTGCCTTTTGTTGTGGGGCTCAGCTGCTAATATAGAAAGTATTTTTGTACTGCAAAAGAGAGCTGTTCGCGCCATATATAATTTAAAGGCAAGAGAATCTCTTAGAGAAAAATTTATAGAAATTAATATTTTAACACTGGCATCGCAATACATCTATGAAAATATAATATATGTAAGAAGAAACTATGACGCATTTGCAAAAAAAAGTCAAACCCATAACTTTAACACGAGATTTAAGAACAAGCTTGCCGTTCCATGTTTCAGACTCCAAAAATCAAGAGGTTCATTTCTGGGATGTAGTATTGCATTGTTTAACAAAGTTCCCCAAGATCTGATTGAGCTTCCACTAACTAAATTTAAATCTCAGATTAAGAATACTCTTATGAATAAGGGCTACTACAAAGTTAATGATTATCTAAATGATCGTAATGCATGGACATAGTGTTTCTTGTAATTTCTTATTTGATGGGTATGAGTCAGTTTTGTAACAGTAGTATGGTACCTATCTAATGCCGCTTCCTATATATACTAAATATAAAATTTGTTTTAACTATATATCTATACCCTAAATATTGTAATGGAAGGTGACTTCAGAAGTATGTCTGAAGTCATTTTTCAACTTGACGACTCTGTATATATCAATACAGGGAGAAAAAAGCAGCCCTTGCTGAGTTTCTTGCCGGTTCTTCTCCGTACAAGGTCTCCCGCCGTAGTTTTGCGAACAGATGGCGTAGCTTCTTGACTTTTACAAGTGCTTGTAACAGCCTAGACTGAATAAATGACTTTTCATTCATTTCATTCATTCATTCATTCATTTGTTAAAGGCAAGATCAGTGCCGAGGATTCTCACTCCGATTCAAAAGCAACAGCGCGTCGTGTGTTCCCGCGAGTTTCTGAACCTGTGTAGCAAGACAGAGATGAATTCTTGTAGGTACTGGATTGTAAAAATGATGAAGATGAAACTAGGGTGTGGCTTCGAAACATGTAACCACCCTCTTTGGAGCATAGATTTAACTCTCTGTGTTTGTTTCTTAGGTTTTCACGCACATCACTCATTAAATAAAACTAGTTATAACGGGTTAATGCACAAAACTTTATTGATTTATTGACGTTTCGCAGCCTTTTCAGGTCTGCATCGTCAGAATAATGATTTTTTATTTAATTTTGTCGAGCTACCTTCGAAAGACTTTTATTGAGCGTTCGGTTATTTCATTGCAAGATTTTTAAAATTTTATTGGACTATGTACGAATTTATTAGTTAATTTAGTCAATAAAGTACTTTATTTTGAAATTAAAAACGAAACTACAAACGTACTACAAACTTGAATGCAAATGTGGGCTCTCCTTCATCGGGCTAACAAAGAGAAGTATAGGGACTCGGGTAAAAGAACATCGCAGATATGAAACATAGGCGCGAAAATAAGTGTGAACTGCAGTGTGAACATGCATTAGGGGGACCAAACTATTATATTAGATTTGATAAACCACAGATCCTTGCAACTGAGCAATGATTCATTCCTAGAATGATACGCGAGGCTATTGAGACTAAATAATATCCAAATTTCAATAGGGAAGATGGTTGAT